TTATTAACCATGATAAGCAAGATTTCACTTAAAATACAACTGGCCGTCCTTTCAAATTGTTTTGCATAGATGAAGGAAATAATACAAATTTAATTGCAACTTTTTTTTTGCTCTTTATTTAATTTTAATATTTCAAACTAAAAAGGATGCTAACCCTTTAAGCCCTTGTGATGCTGAGCACTCCTTTTCCACCCAGATATGCAGCAGCTATTGATCAGTTGAATTTCCATGATACTAGCCCATATTTTCCACTGACCAGACAATGGTTATGCCAGTGCAGATAGGAGTTTCACAAAATGCACAATCCCCTTCATAACACACTCCAAAGGAATTGCCCAGGGCAGTTTCTCCATGACATTTAAGTTGGGATCTTGAGGATTGAGACATTAAGTGAAATAGTTATTTATGAAATAGCCAAGTATTAAACGCATAAGCTAACTCATGAGTAACTATTCATCAGACCTCATGCTGAGCTCACACAGCCCCTTACACTCCACCAGGCCCTAAGCCAACACCTGCCTCTCCTGGGACCTGAGCCAACACCCCAGTCACTGGACCCAACACAGATCATCACATACCTTGCCACTTTGCATTCTATCCTCTACACATCTGGCACACTATTCACCCTAACCACCTACCCACAGGCCACCCTTCCCTCCCCACTCCCAAATTCATCAGGCATCTTACCCTTGTACCCTATTCTCCCCACCCATCTAACAATCTACTCTCCAAATACCATCCTAAGAATTTACAGTTTGACTGCAGATGTCAAAGTGGCTGTCCGGACCTTTAAATTTTAGGCTATAGTCAGAATGGAATGACAGTCCTGCATTTCTGAGGAAGCCCTGAGCAAGATCTCTTCTCAGAAATGTAGAGCTCTTTTGTTAAAAAAACTGGAATTGCAATATGCATTCCTCAAAAAATCCAGGTCATTGTTTTTATTTGTGATGGCTTTATTTTAAAGGCAATTTGACCAACTACAGTGCACACAACATAAATCAACAGTAGTACATAACTACTACAAAGCATACCTAATTATCAAACAAGGTATGCTAGAAAACAAATCTAGCAACATTGCCTCTGCTGCATTCTCCACATTCAGTGGGAGATCAAGCCTGAAGACACCTTCAGAAACATTCAGGCAAAATGCAAAAATCAACTGGAGTAGAGTGGACACTGAACACAGCAGGAGCACATAAGTTGAATGACTTATCAAATCTGCACCAATCCAATTAGTCTCACTTGCTACTTCTTTCCTCAGATTCCTGCAATTATTATTTTTCTCCAAATACCTATCCAATTTCAAAAGCATTCTACTGCACATGTACCTGCCCACTTGATCAGATAATGCATTCTAAATCTGAATTACATGTAAACTGGACTTTTCTTGCGCCACCTCTGCCCCTTTCAACAGTTACATTAAATCTGCACTTCCTCTATTTTGGTCCATCAGCCATTGAAATATTTATTGATATAAACCCTTTATGATGTTGAGCAACTCATTTGTTTAACCTTGTCAGCTAAAGCAAGCTTTCAATTCGCTATCAATGAAGTACTGCGATAATGTGGAAAATGCAGAAGTCAATGCTCACACAGCATGGCCCTGGAAACACAGAATGACCAAAAAAGCTTAAATTTCTAGTGAGAAATTTTGGATGATGGATAAATAGTTCACCAATGATAAAGTTCTTTGAAATATTGCCATGGAATTTATTATATTAATCTGAGAGTACAAACTGGTTTAATGTTGCATTTCAAAATGATACATCTTGGACAATGCAATACTCTTTCACTAATTTCTTGAAATGAGGCTTAAACCCATGACACTGCAGCAACCCAGAACTACGCCAAAAGAAGAATAATACCTCCAAGTATTTAGAGACAAAATGATACCTGAACAGCTGGGTCCGATGATGCCGGTGACACAAACAACAGGAAGGTAGTGCACCCCAACACGCTTGTCATGTTACCATACATCAAGAACATATCTGAACTGATCACAAGACTCCTACAGCCACTGGGCATCAGACTGGCACACAAACCTATAATCAACCCTATGCCAACTGCTAACAAGAACCACTATGGACAGAACCAACATAATATACAAGATTCCATGCAAGGACTGCAACAAACATTAAATTAGACAGACAGGAAGAAAACTGGCTACAAGAATACATGAATACCAACTAGCAACAAAAAGATATGACCTATACTCACTTGTCTTCATACATACAGACAAGAACCATCAGTTTGACTGAGACAATGTCAGAATCCTAGGACAAGCCAAACTGTTACGAGCACAAGAATTGAGGGGCCTGGTTCTCCACCAAGGCCATCAATAATCACAGAATTAGATGCTATATACACACCACTGCAAAGAAAAACCAGAAGTGAGGTAAGCAATTCCAATGGATCCTAGAGTTTAAATAGCAAGCAGGAAAATACAACAATGCTTCATTGGAGGCTGCACTGATGATGTTACCCAGCAGGGAAATGGAACATCTGCAAACTAATGAACCAACTCCGTGAGTGAACCAACCACAGCATCCACAACCCAAGCTACAAATCTACTCGAGAACCTTAACCCCATGATATTCTAATTACTTTTAGAGCTTTGTTATAATTGTATGGGGATATTTCTTGAACAGAATAACTTCACTATCACAACAGGAATGTATACAGGAAGTTACTTCTACTTTCAGCAGTTAACAAAGGCTGCACGTTTATGCTATTCTTCTCCTCAGCTGGCAGTTCCCTGGACTTGAAGACTTACTGCCACTTCAGTTTGAAAAATTGAGATGGCTGTTAAGTTCAAAAATATTATCTGCACACTGCTACATTCAGGACAAGATGTACCTAAAGATTGGAAGATGCTTAGAAGCTTGTGCGCTTTTCTGATGCCTCAACTTTACTCCCAAACAAGTTTCTCAACATGTTCAGCACCTTCTCATGTAAGCTTTCATAATATTGGGTCAGTGAGGATCTCTTCAATCTGATTTGATTTCAAGGATGCTTTGAAGGCATTCCTAATGTCCATGGCATCTGCTGCCACAATTAAGTTCTGATTTGAACAGCTGCTTCAAGGATTAAATGTGGCATAGGTTGGACAGTTTCCAGTTTGTCTTACAAATTATGTCCATGTCTGTAGGCAATTTATTGAAGGTGATGTGTTGCACTGCAGGGAGGAAAATATGTTTGACCCCAGTTTTTACTGGACAAGATCTGTAACAGTTCAGTTGGTGACAATCACAGCTTGCAGGTCATTTTGAAGTGGAGAATGGTGACAAATTTGAGGACAGCCAAATTCAAGAAGGTTACTCCATAAGACTTCACATTTAGCAGGAGTCAAAAGCTTTGATTACGTTCACCAAAAAAAAAGCCATGTACACCAGGTGGTGCTGTCTGTTCGATTTTCTTGAATTTGCTGCACAGTCAACATCATTTCTCTGCAGCCTCTTGACAAAACCTGTAATAGTTCTATGAGCTGAGAGAGGAGATGATCGAGGAGATTTCTTTTAATGATCTTTGCAGATACCAGGGCAAAAATATAAAAATCAACTCTCAATAGCAACAGAAGTAAGACTGCAATCTAACTTCCTAAATATTACATGACATATGGTACACAAGTACATGGTCTTTTAAAATTAAAATAGCAAAATCTTCCATTGATTTTTCATGGTTAACATCAACAGCTTATTAATGCTGACTGATTTTCAAAGGCTCAGCGTGCGCTTGTCACAACTAGAGAATTTTAAAATTCAGAGTCAGTTGTAATTCCAAATTCCACCTTACATGTCCACACTGTGGTTCAACTTCAAAAACCATAATTGCAAATAAATGTAAACCCCTGATAAATGTCAACTTAATGCTGATTGACATTCAAGCTGCACACTAACCCTTCATGGTACAGGATATATGGAAGTGAAGTGAAAATCTGATAATCAGAGACTATAAAGAAATTAGAATATTCAAATTGCACGTCTCCACATTCGTTCTGAAAGCTACAAAAATATAAAACAAAATTTTAAATTGAAGAGTAATGTTTACAAAACATTTGCCAGGTAGAACTAATGTTACACATTGGGCATCATAATTTGAGTGGCCGCATCAACCACAGCTTGGTTGATGCAATCTTCACTGATGTGTTGGTTCATTTGGTCAATTCCAGAAGAAAATAAGTACAGGTACACTGTTCAAAGTCTTGAAAAGCTATTGGAATACAAATTTACAAAATATCATACATAACCATGTAGACATTGATCTCAAGAGTTGAGAATTTTTGGCTTAACAATTTGTAATCATTGATATACCTTACAAAAATGGACCTTATGTTCTCAGATCATAACTCAAAAATTACAGACCAAAGTATAATCCTATAAATGCTTTCAGTGTCCAAAACAAAGAGCAGAAACACGCAACCGCCCTCACTAATATTGTGTCAATCATAGATGCCTGGAATGAACCTGATCCCAACATTCTCAAAAAACATTATTTCTAATGAATGTGCTGAACAATACAGAGGGTGGTGGGCGACAGTTATGATGACGATATCACCTGTCAATTTTCATAGAATCCCTAGAGTGTGGAAACAGGCCCTTCGGTCCAACAAGTCCACACCGATAATCAGAGCATCCCCTCCAGACCCCTCCCCCCATAATCTACACAACCCTGAACACTACGGGCAATTTAGCCTGGCCAATCCACCTAGCCTGCACATCTTTGGAGTGTGGGAGGAAACTGGAGCACCCGGAGGAAACCCGTGCAGACACGAGGAGGATGTGCAAACTCCACACAATCACCCGAGGGTGGGATTGAACCCGGGTCCCTGGCACTGTGAGGCAGCAGTGCTAACCACTGAGCCACCGTGCTGTCCTATGAACTATTCATGTTTGTCATTTCTACTGGAATGTAGTTCACTTTCATTTTTAAAAATGAAAACAAATGCGACTAGGAAAATTAAGAACTTCTGGCAGGTGAAGCAAGTTTGTGGTTAACAGAGCAATCTTTTTTGGTTTCACTCTCAAAATTGTCTTTTTTATTTCAAGCTGTGTAGACCCAAATTTAAGCACACATAATCAACAACTCAATATTTTCATATGAACGTTAACTCAAATTTTTGCCCAAAATACTGGTCTCAAGAATTGAACTTTTAACTCTAGTATACATTTTAAATTCATCTGCTGGTTCTTGCGCAACACACTTTACACTCAGAGATACAAAAGTTTTGTAGGAGGCTGGTAGCACATGCTTCCTGCCAAGAGGGAGTTTAAAACTATTCAGTAACAGGACAATTTTGGGCACATCCAATTACAGTGCCTCAAATTACCACCTTGAAATGCAATACTATCATGATTGCAAACTATTTTTGCTCAGTTATCCAACGCTCTTTAGACAACCCTGCTGTGCACAAATAGGCTGTTTCATCCACCTAGGGGATAGAGAAAGTACTTCAAAACTTACCTGACTGCAAGATGTTTGAAGATCCAATAAGGTGCATTATAATTTTTTTTTTTTTTTACTGCTACTAGCAAAGTGACTGATTTGGTACATGATATTCACAATAAATTCATTGCCAGCAAAATCATTTAACAATTTTCACTGAAGGGTTTAAAACATCCAAATACAGGGAGATTCTAAATCACCAGAGTCATCACTGCAGTGAATGACATCTGTTTGGTGACACCCTTACTGTTCTAAAGGACAGACATTCTGCATGTAGTTCCTTTCCAAATAGGTACAGTATTACTTGTAATAATATACACTGGATAAATACAGGTAGTTCCACTATAACACCTATTTCATTAACATGAATTAGCTGTAACACAATTGATGAATAGTGGACACTGCTTGGATAACTCAAACTTTCTGCTGTATAGGTAGCACGATTTCCCTCTAGCACGAGGTTACACAAGAATGCGACTATCACGTTATAGGAGAACTACCTGTACAGAAAATAAAGGCAAAAATCATACCAGTCACCTAGGGCACAATTTAACATATTATTCTGGTATACATGTTGCATTATGTTATTAATCACCAAATCTGAACACCATGCCTCTTGCAAGTTTTACTGACGCAGTATCTATTGTAAGAAGGGGAAAAAAGGTCCTATAGGAAACTCCAACAGACTGATCTGTTACAGTCTAGGAACAGGGTAGAACAGGGGAATGGACCTCAAATCTAGCAGTATTTGCAGACAATTTTTTTTTTTGGTGGGGATGCGCATTGAGGGCGAAATAAAAAAGGAAGGAATTGAAGAAAATAGAAAAGTGAAAAATCATTGACACCTACAAATGCAGCAGGAATCTCAGATGCCACACAATGCTCATTTCTCAGCTCTACTCCGGTTTCACATACCTACACGACACTGCTAAATGAATCCCTAAATAAAAAGTCAAGTATTTGCATTGAAAACAGTGATTTTTCACCTCAAACTGCTACTAACAAGCCACTGATATCTCAAAAAGATTAATGGAGAAATCAGAAGATATATTTTCTGGACAATGGAGGAACAGAATGCCGACTGGGCTGTAAAAGTAGTGCAAAAGCAGAGAAAATTAAGGAAACTAAGTTTCTTTTTCACTGAAGGAACAGTGATGAAGTAGCCAATGTTGTCACTTTTGTTCATTTGATGTGGCTAACATTCCTTTAGACATCACAGAATTCAAACAAGAGAATTATATAGTGTATTATTCTGTAGTAACACAAATCTAATTTCATTTAGTTTCTTCCACTAAATTCTGTGTTATATATCAGTGCATTCTCAAAGTTTGGCATTCCAGAGTCTCGTAATCAAATAGGCACTATGACAATATCTCAAGAAAATGACAGAAGCCCTAGGAGATCAGTAACTATGCTGATCAAAGGCAATTTCTTTTCAAAAACAAAAGGGCACTACAAAAACAGATTAAGGAGGTATTTAAGAGCAGTCCACAGACTATTTCATATAAATTTACAGAACACCATGTGCGAGGCCAAAGTATTGGTGAAATTTTTCAGTTCTCTTCTGTTCCTCAATTTCAAAATTTGAAATATTAAACAATTCATCTATTTAAAATCTGCAAAGTGCATTCTCCAGGTAAGCTAGGTCCTTTAGAATTTATTTTACAGTTCCCCATCGCATGTATATTTTCTCTCTCTCCCGGAGTTGCACCATTCTCTTGGCAAGATGGCAGGCAAGTAACCCAGTCTTTCATTTTGGAACCAAAATTACGCATTGAGAGATGCAGAAGAGCTGCATTGGATGCAAGACCGATTATTGTCTCACCCTATGGTGAAATGCCTCCATTCATTTCACAAGAAAGATTACAGCAAGACCAGTGGCGTTCTTGGAGAGCCAGGTACAAATCTGTAACTTTTGACTTTTAACTGTTATACAACATCAATCTGTAAGAGCAGATCCACCTACTTTACAGACAAAGCATCTCCATTCGTCAAGGACAGGATCACATACCAGAAATATTTCAATTAGATAATGAAAGACATCATCTTGGTCCAAGTAGCCCCAAAAAGGACTCCGATTCAGTAAAATACAAATGCATTTGAATAAGTTAGAAGCACAATTTTATGTTATTAGAAAAAAGCTGAATTCTTCCATTACACCAGGTTCTCTTTTTAAAAAAAAAAGTCATTTCCATTTAGATTGAAATGTCATATAATAGTGAAAACATCAATGTCAGACCTGCAAGTGACACTATTGGTGTAGAATTCTGACAATATCCAATTTCACTATTTCTTATTACTGTGCGAATGGTTTCACACACCACATACATCACAAAAGGATACCTATTTACACTACCCTTTTGTGTAGATTAAGGTGGCACTCTACACAGTGATCTGTACGCTAAAGAAACAGCAATTTAGGTGCATTATCCCCTTGACCCCAGTATCTGTCCCAACTCTTCAAAAAAATATATTTTCTTCATTTGAGGTACTAGCAGTCTCCGTGGAAATTAATTTTTTCGGTTCATGTCATTGTTGCCATAGCTGGAGCCCCTTTCTATTTCTGTCATTCCGATCATCCATCGCATACCAATGGAGGCTGGAAAACAAAGAAAGCATTTTCAATACATAATACAGACTATCAATTCAATTTGCTAACAGTTAAAATACAAATTAAGGATGCCTGTTTGCAAATTCACAAGTTCTTTATAAACAAAAAGTTCAAATTAGATTCAGTATGTCCTCAATCATTGGTTCATCCATATTAACATTCAAGTAGCAGTAAGTATAAACAAAACAAGCAGGGAACAAGTAGCAGAGCTGACAAAGCAGAGCAGTAGTAAAGGGTAGTTCAAAGTGCCGGAAGTGGAAAGCAAAGTCTGTAAGGTTCAGTGCTGGAACCAATGCAAAAGGACATCAAATCTGGGGGTGGTGTGGAAGAATTGTCAAAATGAAGACCACAACAATATTACTAGGATACATTAACTTGAAGATGTATGTAATGGGCAAATTAATTTCAACATTAAATGTAAAATATTACATTTTGGTAATAAAAAATGTGACCACATATTGGTCAGAAAAGAAGAATCTAAACAGGGTAGAGGAGCAAAAAAGGGATCTGGGAGCACATATATAAAGGAGCAATGCAGTTTAATAAAGCAAACCAAAAGAAAACCAAAATCAGTCAGATTTATTTCCAGAGGAATAGAATTGAGAGAAGTTATGCTGGACACATATTAAACATTATTAAAATTCTTGGATATAGCACACAGCTTTGTTCCAAATTGATATAGAGGTATCAAACATGGTGCAAAAAAAAGATTTTAAGAATAATACCAATATGAGAGATTATACCCATCTGGAAAGGGATCAAAAGACTTTTTTTGAACAGAGAAGACCAAGTGTGACTCAAGAGGTCTTTTTAAAAAAATACAGTTTAATAGACTAGACAGTATCACCATTTGTGGAGAAAAGCAAAAACAAAAAGGACATCACTATAAGATATTAATTACGAACCAACCATTTTGATGCAGCGTGTTAAATTAACACAAGGGTTAATCAAAGCACAGCTGTACAAACAAACAGAAGGAAGACCAGATAAGAATGAAAAAGAAAATAGAGGGTTAGGCAATTAAAAGTTATGAGAAGGGTGGAAGGAGGGTCAAATGGAACATAAAAATGTTAGCATGGATTATTTCAGCCTTACAGTTTATTTCTGTACTGTACAATTTATGCAATCTAAATACTTGAAAACAGCACCTGAGTACTTCTAACTAATCCAAAATTTTGTATATTGGTTATGTTTCTCAATTTTGATTGGTAAAGTGTCTTTGTGGTTATTTTCCAAATGGTACTCACCAAATTTCTTGCAAGCACATTCTACCAAAAACACATAGGGGAAGAAAAATGTCACCACCTATCCCAACCACTCAACCGAAAAGATTTTCATAAATTGTAATCTTGTGCCATGGTGAGGCTAATAGAATTTGCAATATTAAAAAAATTAGATTGACTACATGGTGATTACCTAAGCAAATCTGGATCCAAATTCAGAGCATGCAGATATAGAGATAGGTATCCATAAACCTCAAGGATTTCACACCCTACTTCACTGTGTATATCCCATGACCTCAGCTCACTATATGTTCCCAAGCTTAAACCCAACAATCGATCCTGTCAGGCACAGCCAAACTCATTTTCAACCTATAGACAATAGAGATTCTTCATTTTGAAAGGCATGCTTTAAAAAGTACGTTTTTCTCCTGTTACATACTATAGGAGTCATTTGTCGTAACACCGTACATGATTCAACAAAAATTTTGTTGATAGTTGCTGTGCTCACAGCAAAAAAGGCAATATACTAAATGGGGTGAGGTAGCTAGTTTGCACTTGACCCTCCTGCAATCAGGAATCAACTGAAGAGTCCTACCTCCTGACACAAGATTGACTAGGATGGAATTGCCTTGAAGTTCTGCTCCTCTCCGACAGGATTTCCATTCCAATCTTTTCTCTTGTCCACTGACATTAATTTCATTGTCATTCCTGGTGTTTGACCAGTTATTTGCTAAAACTCCTTTTCACAGCCATAATCACATTCCTCAGTGACTGCCTCCAGCCCAGACTCGCACCACATGGATTCCTACTGAAGTTTCATCCCTTGTGCTTTGAATCCACCCAGGATCACAAGTATCTGTGATGTTCAACATTCCACAGACAGCTGTTCTCACCACTTCTTGTGATCCACACTCAGCGCCATATGGCATCACATGCACACTCTCAACCCCCGTCTAACAGCATGGCATCACACTGGCTCAGGGCTGTACCACTCTGCAGTTCCACTTCATCCTCCGGCTCATTCGCTGGGCTAACCAGAAACCTTTTCTTCTTTTCAGGTATCAAGGCCTATAAAGATGCAACAACTTGGAGACACCCATTGCCCTCTGTAACCTTCCTCCCGTCCCCTTCCCTCTGACTCCATCCCCTCTCCCTACCCCACATCCTGTCCGGTATTCACCATCCCTCCTAACCTTCTGCTCTCCGATCCAGAATATTCTGTCTTCAAAGGTCTCAGCTTTATCCCTCTGCGTCCCCACCTTAAATTAATTTGAGGCAATGCTAAGACATCGAACTCTTGTTCTGCTGTCTTCATCTCTCTGCCCATTTCTTTGGGCAAGAGTCCGCTTTCTGGTTCACAGACACCTTTGCCCAATTTCAACACTCCCCCTCCATGTGGACCCCGCCCTCTGGGTTTTTACCCGCACTTGATGTGTTCGTTGAAAATTGTCAACATGACATTGGTCACCTCAATTTCTCTGCTCCCCACCCAATCCAACCTATCTTCCTCCGAACTGACTGCATTCTATGTGCTTAGATCCAACCTGGACTTTATTATTAAGCCTGCCAGTTCTGAGGAAGGATCACGGGATCCAAAACGTTAACTCTGATTTTTCTTCAGAGATGCTGCCAGACCTGCTGAGCTTTTCCAGGACTTCTGTTTTTGCTCCTGGAATTTCCAATGTTTACTGGGCTCAAATAGAATTTTAGAAACTGGGGAAAACTAATAAAAAGTTCTGAAGGAGGGTCACTGGACCTGAAACATTAACTTTGCTTTCCCTCCACAGGTGCTGCCAGACCTGCTGAGTTTTCCCAGCAATTTTTGTTGTCATTGTTGTTGTCATCGTCATTTCTAATGAAACATGTAATGGTCTAACCACCATTTTATTTTTTATTTGCAGGCAAGTAAATTCAAGTCAAATTGTCTGTGTAAATTAGAAAACTAGAATGTGGCTTTGATAGACGTGTACAAGTTTCATGGCTGGGGTCTCTGCAGGTTCATGTTTGATAGGCAAAGATTGCCGATACCAGTGGCATAATCACTGCAATGGGAATACAAGAGTCAGGATGAATAATCAACTATTGACTCAAGCTCAAAAATAAATTTCTGTCTAATTTAAACTGTTGAATGACAATATTTACCATACTAAGAGATTACTGGAAATATACCTTAAATATATATGTGATGTAACGAAAACCCTTGTGCAAAATGAGCAAGATGCCGTTTGATTTAAAACAAACTGGAAATCAGAGTGCAAGACTGTTTTGTGTGTATATACACCATTAAAAACGAACAAAATATGAATAGCTCTTCCTTGTACCACTTTTCCAACATGAAATTGATCCAAAGGTGATTCAACATCAAGACTCCAAAAGCATAGCCATAAAATAAAAAACCCAAGATGCTTTTGAAGGAAAAAGAGGGATTAAAAGCCAAAGCAACTGATTTAATGCCTTAAAGTCTTGTTGTCAGTGAGTGGAGGAAGTGGGAATGAGCAGTATTCCAAAAGAAAGAACAGCAGAGTGTACAGCCTTGGGCACAACAGGACAGTTAATTTCAATTAACAAGGAGAATCCTCCATGAACAGTACTATTCTCGATAATGACAGACGCCCAAAGAGTTCAACAGCAAGACTGAAACTTTGCAATTATCTTCAGAACATCTTCCAAAGTAATGATCCATCATATTTCTTCAAGGTTTTTCTTAGCACAAATATTAGTCTTCACTTCAATTCAGTTACACAACTTAATATTAAGAAACAGCCAAGCACAGTGGATATGGTAAAAGACTATGCCCTTACAACATCTCAAATGCAAAACTAAAAGCTTAAGTTTCCAGAGAGGCCAACTATTACAGCACAGTTTGAATGCTGGCACCTATAGAACAGTGTAAAAATTGGATAGGATCCCCTGTCCACAAAAAGTAGGACAAAAATCAATATAGAGACTATTTGTAGCCTAACAATCTATCCTCAATAGCAAAGAGGTGGAAAGTGTCAAAAGTGCAATCAAGTGGCACTTCTTAATAACTATTCAATGATGCTCAGTTTGGGTTCTAGCAGGATCACTCCGCTCCAGACCTCATCATCTTAGTCCAAAGGTGAATTATTATACATGATACAGTACAAGAAAATACCTGGGAAAGTTAGGGTCTTAAATCTGAAATGCCAGTTTAGACTGTTCAGTGCAAGAAATGATCATGGTAAAGGAGTCATACCAGCAGGACAGACCCAGAAGAGGTGGCAGCAGAGTGGCATACATGGAGGGAGTTGTCCTCAGAATCTTCAACATGGATGCTGAAGTCAATGAAGGCCCATGGCATCAGCCAAACATACCAATGACCATACGTGGTGCTCCCCTGAGCTGATGGATCAGTAAGGCTGCATATTGTACACCCATTTGGAGGAAAGAAGGCCCTGACATTAATTTTACTAGGATTTGATCAAATGCTGCCACCATGGTACTGGCAGTCAGGAGCAATAAAGGCATAGAATGTATTCTGGGCGGGGAGTCTAAAATATCCATCAATAGGAGTTGCTCGATAATGATCATTAGTGGCTGTTAGTAGTGTCGAGGACTACAGGACATAACTGCCGAACTGAATCTGTGGTAGGTGGTAAAAGGAACCAAGTGGGAAAAATATACTTGACTTCACCCTCAAATCGGCCTGCATCTTTCCAGGACAGTATCAATAAGAGTGTTCACTGCACAGTCCTTATGGAGGCAAAATCCCATCTTCACAGTGAGTTATGTTGAGTGGCACTA